AGTCGGGCCTGTCCCTCTACAGGAGGAATATTCCAAAATAGTCAAACAATATTCTGGGGACGAGTTTTTGATCATTTAAAAGTATATGTGAATATTCTTTTGGAACATTTGAAAGGTTCCGCCCACAATCTCCCTGTAGGGGGACAGGCCCGACCTAAGCCTAGTGCGAGGGCGCGGAAGTCCAGACCCTTTTTTTCGGTAGCAACTCATGGGAGCCTCGTGCGCCCCCGCAATTCTGTTTTTGGCGTCCACTCGCATCGACTGGCGTCTGGGAGTCGATGGGGCTATAGCGCCGACTTCAGCGTCTATCGGCGTCGATGTGGCGTCCGTCGATCTGGCGTCGACCAGCGTCGGTTCGCAGGAGCCGACGAGATGGTATGGGAGGCTCCCATGGAGTTGCCGCCGAACTTCCCCCAGGCTGCATCGCCCCCCCCGTGGCCGTTTCTTGCCCCTCCCCCGGAAAAGGGGGTGGAGGAGGAGGAGGAGGAGGAGGAGGAGGAGGAGGAGGGGGGGCCCGGCGAGTGCCCCCGGAGGGGCCGTGGCCGAGCGCGGCCAAGGCCAAGGACCTGCCCGGCGTGTTTTTTTTTTTGGTTGTTGGTGCCGGGCGCGGGCGCGCCTGCTCCCCTTTTTCCCTGCTTCGGGGGCGGCGAGGGGGACGGTGACGGTGGGGGGTGGATCTCATGGCGAGGGTCACGACATATTTTCCAGATTTCATGGCGCCTCTTCTTGCTTCCATGCGTCCCCGCCTCTCCCCCCGGGCCGCGCACATGCCGCCGGCCATGATCTGCGCCCCCCCCCCCCCCCCTCTTGGACGCCCCCCTCTTGGCCGCCCCCGACTGCTCCTCCGCCTCCCGCCTCTCGTCCCCCCAAGTTCGGGGGCAGCGATATGGGGGGGATAGGCATGCGGGGGGGCGCGTCGGCCCCCCACCGCCCATTGATCGCCGCTGGGGGCGCGGCAGCCCCCACCTGCACGCGAAGGTGCGGGCTCACTATCGGGGGCCTATCGCCGATCTATCGGCGACGTATCGCCGATTCCAGGTCGATGCATCCCCCCCCCTACGCCAGTCCCCGCCTCTCGTTGCTCCTCACAAGTGGGGCGTTCCAAAAAGGGCGCTGCTCTCGGGGGTCGAAGGAGTCGTCATCTCTTCCGCGGCGGAAGGGCGGCGGAAGGGCGGCGGAAGCAGAGCGAGGCCGCCTCCGCCGGCGGAGGCCGGCGAAGGCCAGCGGACGAGGAGGCGAAGACAGCCGCGGGCGAGGCCCCCCCAGCCGAGCAGCTCCTGCCGTGCCCTGAGGGTGCTCGGAGGTGCCAGGGACCCAAGGGGGCTGGACAAGCAGATGTCTCGGGTGCACCAGAATGCAGAGCTCCGGATCATCAGGGGTAGCTCGGGTCAGGGCTAACTCGGGTTGGTTTTTCGGGATTCCGAACCCGAGTTACCCCGGGCCCGAGTTACCCCGGGTAATTCGGGCGTCCATGGCCCCAAATCATCAGGGGTAACTCGGGTCAGGGCTAACTCGGGTTCGGTTTTGCGGGGATCCAAACCCTAGTTACCCCGGACCCGAGTTACCCCGGATAACTCGGGTGCCCGAAACATTTCGCGAATCCCACGGACCTCACGGATGACCAGCTGAGAGCCTTGAGGTGCCCCCATTGCCAGGCTCAGTTCAGCAGGAAGGATGCCCTGGTTCGACGCTATCGCCCGCAACGATGCCGTGCCTCTCCGTCGTCGTCGGCTCAAGCCTCTTGGCCAGCGGGGCCCGCACCGCCAGGACCTGCGCCTCCTGCCCGTGCCCCCTCTCCGTCGGCGGCGCCAACACACACGCGAGATGTTCGGCCCGATCGCAGCGATCATGGGAGTCGAGCGTGGCGCCGAGGCTCGGGCGCCCACAGCGGGGGAGGCATCGGACAATAACGAGACGGCTCCCAACGGCAAGCTGCCGAAGCCTAGTTATGTGCCGCCTCCTCCTCCAGCACGAAGCCGCCCAGCAGTCGGCCGCCCGAGGCGACAGCTTCACGCTGACGGTCAAGGAGGGCGCGAAGATCGAGATGGCTCTGGAGGGAGGCTACCAACACTACGTGGCCGAGGGCAAGACGGCGCGCCAGAGCGACGACTTTCGCGGTCACCCCGACAGCAAAATACCATATGCGCTCTTCCACAGGATCATCTTCCGCATCTCGGAGGCGGCATCAGGCAACCTCGAACAGGTGAAGCAGGCGATAGGACAGGGCCGAGTCCCACGCGAGGCGCTTGAGGCATTGGACGTTCTCATTCGTTGGGGCCCACTCGTTCAGAATAGGGAGACAGTGGTCAAGTCGACGAGATGCTTCAACATTGCTTTTTGTTTATCGAGGGTGGTGAAAATCAAGTACGTTGGGTCTGGGCCTGCAGCCACAACGTCGACCTCAAGAATGCTCTGACGGTGCTGCGGACCAGCGGCGAGATGCTTGCGGCGAGCGTGATGCTAAGACGCGATCGCGGACCCCGCTCCAAAGTGGCCAAGCATATCGAAACGCTGGTATTCAGGAGCGGAGGCAAGCAAACAGGCCAGGCACCCAAGACGCCCAAGCGCAAGTAGCTACCTCAAGTCCTGGTTCGTCCAGTTTCAGCGTCGCCACATTTCTGCCGAGGGCTACCCAAAATCCTGGTTCGTCCAGGTTCAAAGTCGCCACAGTTTTGCCGAGGACCCTCGGTCGGAGAGACGTTCAAGCGTCAGCGCCTTTCCTACCAACGTTTTGGATGACCAGCATGTATGCACCTGGTGGTAATGGTGACTACTCCTCGTGTCTATGCTGTCAGTGTTTCTCGTATCTGCGTCGCTTTCATGCATGTACCTGGTGGTAATGGTGATTACTCCCCTGGGCTGTGAACGGGGCTACTTCGACGGGGCGGGGTTCGGCTGGTTGAACCCGTTCGTCGGCGTGCTCTTGGGTGTTCCTTGAGGCCCCGGGGCGCAGCTACCGCCTGCCGCCGCTGTCCTCCCCTCCTGCCTCCCCCCTCCGTGCGGTCTCGCAGTCTGTGTTTTGAGTTGAGGGGAATGGCCTCCAGACCCCAGAGGGGGCCGTGGAACCGCTCTCACAGTGCCGCGTCCGCAGAGGCGGGGGCGCGTGGGTGAGGGGCTGTGGCTAAGCTCTCGTCCTGCTCCTGGCGTTCCTGTCTGGGCCCGGCCCCTCGATATGAAGAGGCATATCGTGCGCCGATTCCCGGTGGATTTTACCTCAGGCCCTTCACGAAGCGTCCGTGAAGAGCGAGCTTGGGCGCAGTGCTGTGCCAGCGGAAGGTGGCGGAAGTGCAACATGAACCCCCAAGAGATGAAAACGTTTTTGGGTTCAGAATTCCCGAAATCGCCCAAATGTGGCCGATGTTTTCTTACTTTTGGCATGGGCCAGGGTTTTGAGCGGCGGTCGCGCGTGTGACGGCCGTTTTTGGCGACCACGCTGTTCACTCCCCTTCCTCGGCGTCCTTGCCTTCTCTCCCTTCTCCTTCACGGCTGGTGCTTGGCATGGTGGAGTCCCCTTTCCCTCTGTGGGGAAGCTGGCAAATGTCATCCTTTGCGCATTGATTATTAGTTTTTGGTTTGTGTGTGTGTGTGTGCGTATGTGGGTGTGTGTGTGTGTGCGTGCGTGCGTGCGTGTGTGTGTGTGTGTGTGCGTGTGTGTGTGTGTGCGTGTGTGTGTGTGTGCATGTGCGTGTGGGTGGGGGTTGGGGGGGAATGCCTGGTTCTGGGTTGCGGCAGGGGCTCGTTTTCAACCAGTGGCGCGAGGCGCCCTGGCTCGCCTGCAGGTCCACCAGATGATGTCTTGAGATGTGTGGTCAGCACATTCGGAGGTTGATAGACCTCCTTCCCCGATTAGCGAATTGGCCGTGTTCGGTTCGCGCGAGGGCGTCGCGGCCGTCATTTCTGCGGGTCCAGGTTTGTCGGTTTCGGTCCCAAGCCGTCGTTTCCACCAAAAAAGGGGGTCTACTGAAGGGAGATGTGTCCACCGCCGAAACGCTTTTGGCTGATACCGTCTGGTTCCAGCACGTCGGCTTCCATGTTCCAGGAGCGTGGCCTGTGCTTTTTCCAAACCATTTTCAGCAGGACGTCGTGGTAGGCCTGTAGGACCTGCCGCCACGGTTGGCCCTTGCTCAGCGACCGCTCGCTCTGGCGCCAGTGGAGCGCAGCGCAGAGGGCGACACGGCGGAGAGATCGGAGCCGAGGGCGGCGTGGACCCGGCACGCACGAGCACCCGAAGGAGAGGGCGCGCGAGGGACGCCTGGGGGGCTCGGGAGGGGCGCTGGGCCCCCCCCCGGCGCCTCCCCGCCGCGGGGCGCGGCCGGGCGCAGGGCGTCCTCGCCAGCGGTGCCTCCCCTGCGCGGGTCGGCCCGCCGTCCCCAAGGCGCGGCGCGTGCTGGTGGGCGGGTCCGACCTTGAATGGTCCAGGCCCTCAGCACGGGGGGCTGGGGGGGGGCGCCCCTGGCGCCGCCCTTGGCGCGCGCGCCGGGGGGGGGGGCGCCCAGCGCAGATCCAAGGAGTCCGCGCGGAGTGCCAAGAGTGCATGCTCATGGCATTTTTTCTTCTTGTAGCAGCGCTGTAGGGCCTCCGATGGAGTCATGATCGCAGAACCTCTTGTGAGCTGGCCTGCTTGCGAGCGACTGCCATAAACGTCCCTTCGTTCATCACACAGGAGAAAGCACAGACACAATTCCTCGTCGATCTCGAAGAATATCTGGAAATACGGGAAGTGGGGGGGAAGACGAACATCCAGAACATCTATGGAACCACACGGGGCATCCTGGGATCCGTGTCCATCTCTTTGTGCGTCCCTGGGCCCATGTCGTTCAGGCCCGCCAGCGGCTGCCGGCGGCCTCCGCGCCGCGGCCGGCGGACCCCGCGCCCTCGAGGCGGGCGCTCGGTGCTCTCGCGGAGGGCCTCGGCGGGGATTGGGCCGCCGCGGGTGCGGGCTGCCGCGCCTTCGTGGCCGCGCAGGCGCTGTGCGTGGCGGCCGCCGCCGCGTGCGTCTGCTACTCGGCGGTGGTGGCCGGGGGCTCAGGTCAAGTCGGGCAGGTCCCTCGATTCAGCCATGCGCAGAGAGAGGGAGGGGGGAGGGCTTCTTAGAAGCACCCCTGCTTCTTGAAAGGCGCGGGCCGTTTCTATAGATGTAAGGCCGGCGCCTGCTAAGAAGCAGCCTCCTTCTAAGAAGCCCTCCCCCCTGCCTCGACCCCCTTGTGCGCACCGCCAATCTACAGGAGGAGTATTGAAGAATAGTAAAGAATAGTCTCGGGGCGAGCTTTCGAGTACTTTGCATTTCGTTTTTGGGCATTTGTTGACTATTTGTTTTGGTTTCTTGCGAAATCCGCCTTCAGGAGGGCATGCCCGACCTAGGGCTCAGGGGCCACGCGAGTCGGCTGAGGTTGCTTTCGGAGGCTGCGTTCCGTGGTCGTTCTCGGAGGCCCTTCGGAGGCTCTCGAGGCCCTCGGGGGGGCTGCCGTCCAGCTGCGCCTCGTCGAGAGCGTGCCGGGGGGAAGCCGCACTCGTCCCGATGGGCCTCCCGAGAGGTGGCCCGAAAGCCACGGGGTAACGACTGAGGGGGGGGGGAGGAGGAGGAGGAGGAGGAGGAGGAGGAGGAGGAGGAGGAGGAGGAGGAGGAGGAGGAGGGGAGACGCTCAAAGAGGAACGCATCGGCGCCCGATGGCCCGCCCCGCCCCCTGGACCGTGCGGTTTCGACATCGGGAGCCTTTTGTTGCCGATCTATCGGTGGTGTATCGCCGACCCCAGCTGCATGTTTCTCCCCCCTAGGCTGGTTCCCCCCTATCCTTGTCCCTCGGATGAGGCACCCCGCTTCGTGTGCTCGGAGCAGGGCCAGCTGAGAAAGCGGCGGGCCTCCCTGGCAGGTGTTTGCTGGTTGGCCCCCTCGGGGGCTTCCCTGCCTGTTGGCCCCCCCGTTGCCTCCCGGGCCTCCCTGCTTGTTGGCCCCCCGGGGGCTTCTCTCGTCGCCACGGCAGGGTCCGCCTCCCCAAGACGAGGCAGGATGGACCCAGGGACTGTTCCAGGGACCGGTTCTGAGGTCGGGCATGTCCCGCTCGAGGAGGGATCTTCAAACATGGTATACAATCAGTCTGGGGACGATTTGTCGATCGCTTCTGAAGTCTTGTTGCACATGTTTTCACTGTTCGTCACTCTTCCTGGAACGTCCCCCTGTAGGGTGACCTGCGCGCCCTACCCACATCGCTGTGGATCGGAGCTGGGCTGGGCGGGAGAGTACACCTTAGGCGATGCTTAAGAAAACTTACGTTTTCGGCCAGAGTCTCGATTATTGTTAATGTTTCAATGTAAATCCTATGATTTTGATAGAAGTTTTGGGCTTTTATTCAAATTCTGAGACTATGAATTTCTTAACCCATGATTTCTTAAGCATTTCGCAGGGTGTAGCCGTTGTCTCAACTGGCCTCCGAGAAGAAGACAGGGGGCCCCGCGTCCCGATCTCGCCGTGGGGCGCGCCGGCCCCGGGGAGGCGGGCCCTCGGTCTGTCTGGCTGCGCTTGGCCTCCCTGGGTCCCCTGCGGGCCCCTGCGGGCTCGGGTCAGGAGGGGAAGGAGCACACAGACACAATGCATCGTCGACTCCCAGGAGCATCTGGGAAACTGTGGGAAGTGAGGGGGGAGACAAACACCCAGAAAATATGGGAACAGATGGGGGATCCGGTTATTTGTATGTATTTATCGGTGTGTGTCCCAGGGCCCCTTCATTGGAACCACTCGCTCAGGATGAAGAATGGAAGCCTCTGTCCCGGGGAAAGCCTTCTGTGATCCAGGGCGGGCTCTTCTCTTTAGGGCCCGCCTTGATTCGTGCCAGCGCTCGACCTCGTGCGCGCGCTTCTCTCATGCTGCCAAGCGCGCGGCATCGTAGTCTTGCTCGCGGCGAGATCAGATTGGCCAACTCCATGTGTGTTTTCAGTTGAGTTGTTTTGTCCGAAGAAGACGTAGGGAAAGAAAGGACCGAATAAGGATCAGGAAGAAGTGTTGGGAAAACCATGGTGCATGTCTAGAAGTCGGAAGAACAGGAAGAACAGGAAGACCCGACTGAAGATTGGCCATGTCTTTGCCTCGGGAATCATACAGAAGAAGAAGAAGGCGGCGGAGGGGCACGAGGGCGACTGCGCAGACACTGGCGCGCAAGCTTGCAGCATCAGGCCGGGCGTCTGCCCCCTCTCCTCTCCTCTGCGGCGTGCTGTGCCGCGCAGGGTGCCCGTGAGCCACCGCGTGGGCCCGGCTGCGCCGTCGCACGCGAGGCTCACCTTCCTCCTCGCCGCCCGCGTGGGGCCCCGTCGACGGCGACGACGCCATCGTCGCCGCTACGTCTTGGATGTTCTGGTTGCCTTCTCTTGGGGGGGCGTTCGTCGCCACGGCTCGACGCAGGCTGCAACGACTCGCCCGAGTGGATCCCCTGTGGGGATCCAAAGGCCGGTCTCGAGCGGATTTGGGTCGTGGGGCGGCGGCGGCGTTCTAAGGGGGCAGGGGTAGAGAGGACCCTATGTGTCCAAGAAGGCTTCTCAGAAGGCAGGGCGGGCTTCTGAGAAGCCTCATGCTGTCTCAGGGGGGAGGAGGAGGGGGAGGGCGGAGGAGGAGAAGGAGGAGGAGGAGGAGGAGGAAAAGGAGGGACCAGGGAGGAGGGAGGAGGGAGGAGCAGGAAGAGGAGGTGGATGAGGAGGAGGAGGAGGAGGAGCTTCTGAGAATCTTCCTGCATTTCTAGAAGGCACCGCTCTGCTCCCCTCATCGCGCAGCGAAGGTGGCGCTACCAGGCGAGCTCGCCGGGTCCTTCAGCGTGCACCTGGTGTATTTTGCGGTGATGTTCCTCGCCGGCGCCTGCCTGAATTGTCCTATGGCCTTCAGCTTGCCCCTGCTGTGACTCTTGTGCATAGGGCACCCGGGGTCACCTGAGAACCCCCTTGCATTCCTGGCCTTGAGTGTCGGGGATGGGGTTCCTGTCTCTGGCGACCAAGCTCTGGGTGCAGAATCGAAGGGGGAGTCGAACCAGCCTCCCCCACGTTCCTCTTCCAGAGGAAGAGCACATGGCAGATACGTCAACTTCTGGAGCCCCGCGAGGATTTCCTGGATTGGCGCCTGGGCCCCCCTCCCCGGCGGCGCCTCCGGCGCCACGGGCGGCGCCAGTGACGCCGCCACTGGGGCGTGGGCGCCGACCCAGAAGCCCGCGCGGAGTGCCAAACGCTGATGCCTCTGCCGCCTCTTCTGCCTCTGCTTTCTTCCTCCTCCTCCTGCATGTGCACGGGCGGCTTGCACGAGCCGGGCTCGCGAATTGAGGCGGCTTCGGGCCCTGCCGGTGCGACGGCAGTCCCGGGGGGACCCGCGCACGTGTATAGCACCCCGCGGGAGCCGCGCGTCGGAGGCCGGGCCCGGATGGCCCGCCGACCCGGTGCCCTCTAGGCATCCTCGATGGGGTCCGAGCAGATGGGGTCGGAGGGTCGCGCCGCCTCGCCGAGGCATCGGCGGTGCGGCTCGGTGCGGGGCCGATGTTCCCCACGCCGAGGTCGCGGATGCGTCGCCAACGTCGCCGAGGCATCGCCGATGCATCGCTGGTACATCGGCGATGCAGTGACGATGCGGCGCGATCCTGCGACCCCATCTACTCCGACCCCATCTAGGAGGCGTCTACGCCCGCGTCTTGCATTCCGCCGGAGGCAGGTCGTTACCTTCGCTCCCTCCGCCTCTCAGTACGGCGGGGGCGCTCGTCAAGGAACGCGCCCAGGAGGCTGCAGACACTGGAGGACTCCCTGTCTGATGAGGGCGGTGGCGATGTCCATGGCCGATCCACCTATTGGATGTCCAGGGGCTTCCAGACCCTGGGTTCCTTATCGAAGGGTTCCTTGCGTGAGCGGATTCTCCCCCCCCCCTTTGCTATCCAACCCCTGTAGCCCGACCCGACAGGAGCAGATCCTGTGCCTGCGTGCCGCTGAGCGTGTTTGGCTCAAGGCAGTCGTGAGGATGGGACGCAGCTGGCTTCTTAGCGTTAAGTCAACGATAGTCAACAGGGGGAATCTTCAAAAATAGTCAACGAGTACCCCAGTGCGACCCTACCTAGGAGTTGGAGCCCCTAGGAAAGCAGCATTAGTAGTAACGGTAAACGCCGTCCTCCTCCTTCTCCACATCGTCGTATTTGCCTTTGCGTTGCTTGGTTTTGCTTTTGCTTGGTTTTGCTTTTGCTTTGCCTTCCCACACACACACACGCATTTTTTGCAGTCGCTCACTGGGTGGGCTCTCTGATCGTACTGTTGCATATTGCTCTTGCTTTGCCGTTCCTTTGCTTTGCTTTTGCTTTGCTTTGCTTTGCTTTGCGTTGCTTGTGCTTTGCTTTGCTGGTGCTGCTGTTGCTTTGCCTTTGCCTTGCTGCTATGCTATGCTATGCTATGCTATGCTGCACTATGCTATGCTATGATATGCTATGCTATGCTATGCAATGATGCTATGCTGCGCTATGCTGCGCTATGCTATGCTACGCTAGGCTGCGCTATATTATGCTATGATATGGTATGCTATGCTATGCTGCGCTATGCTATGCTGTGCTATGCTGCGCTATGATACACTATGCTGCGCTATGCTATGATATGCTGGGCTATGCTATGATATGCAAAGCTAAGCCAAGCTAAGCTAAGCTAAGCTAAGATACAGCTGCGCGAAGCTAAGTTGAAGCTAAGCTAAGCTAAGCTAAGCTAAGCTAAGTTAAGATGAGATAAGCAACGCTAAGCTAAGGGGGGCGTAACTGGGGGAACCGCGGGGCGGATACTGGCGGAGCCGCCCGGGGCGGTGTGCACTGCCCGGCCCCTTTAAGACAGAGAGTAAGAGCCCTCTAGGCAGAGCCTGGGCAGGGAAATAGCCTGGGGACGATTTTTTGAGTATTTGTTTTGCCATTTTGGAGTCTGTCTTCGGTATTTTCCATACTCTTCGCCCAAAATCCCCCTGTAGGGGGACACGCCCGGCTTAATCTTAGCGGGAAAGGGTGCGGGCGCGCCCCTCTCTCTCGGCGCGCGCCTATCGCCGTCCACTCCCTCCTCTGCTTCGCGGAGCATCCCAGCCTTGGCGGACAACACTGTTAAGAGTCCATCCATCTACTGGATCCATGTGGAGGGATCCCCAGGGTCAGGAGGTCAGAGCCAAGGGAGACGCCCATTCGTCAGGGGATGCCGATTGCTTGGCGAAAGACAGGTCATCAGCCGAAACAATGACGGTTAAAGGACTTAACGCAGTCAGTCATGGTGATCACCACGGTGACAGTAACTCGAATCATCAGAATACCTGTGATGGGAGAGCGAAATCAGACGAGTCGTCGGGCGATCTCGTCAGAACGACCCTCGGGGAGAGCGTGCAAAGCATGTGGCATATGGCATGCCCACTCCTCCCGGTCAAAACAACCAAGGATTCGGTAATCAGAACAAGGACGGGAAGTATCCACCATCTTCCGATCAATGCTGAGGGAGCCAAGCAAGACTCGTGCCATACCAAATGTGAAAATCGTATCAGAGGAGATGGACGCATTTTGCCCATTCCCGAGTGCTGGCTTTGTGGCTGCTCTGGCACCGTCTCTTCATGAAGGCGGCGGGACACCTGCGCAGATTGAGTGTCTGTCTGAAGCGCAGTTGGCAGCTGAGACCCGTGAGATTTCAACCAGCGTGAGGACATGCTTGGCGACGGCTGTTGCCAAGCTGTACTTCTTTGGGAGCCCTCTTAGTGTGCGATCGCGGACGGTCAATGCGGTATGGGATCGCCCTAATTATGAGGAGATTTTCACGCCGCGGCATCCTGGTGAAGAGGGGTGGCTCGTGCGCGACGCTACGTGTGCAATCATCAGGGCTTCGTGGGATGGAAGGTCAAGGAACCGTCTCGCATATATGTGGGCTCTATGCTGCAAGACATCTGCGACTAGATGTGGAGGGGTTGGTGTGCCCTGTAAGGTAGCGTCTTTCCTGGACCCAAGTGGTGCCAAGTTTGTCAAAAAAGGCGTTGGAAGGAAATGGTAAATATGAGGCCCTTGAAGGTGTCATTGGTGGCTCCCTTCGCCGAGCATGGGCGCTCAGCGACGATAAGAAGTCGCGAGACGCTCGAGCGAAGATGGGACACGCCATCAGGGTGTACGGAACAAGGCTCACTACGGTGGTGATCGTCATGATGCGCGATAACGTCGGGGCAGAGTCTCAGAGATCTGTATGAAGTTGGAAATTCATGTTCTCAGCAGCTGATACTGACGAGAAAGAAATGACAGATGATAATAATGAACCTGCTCTGCCCGCGTCACTCCTGCCGTTGGCATCCAGGGGAACCCTTCGGATTGGATCGAGCTCGGCTGGCCACCAGGGAGGGGGAACAGCCGGTGCCAGAGATGGCGGCGTTGCCGCGACAGCCGAGCCGCCTGCGCGTGACGAGGCTTCTGGCCGCAGGTGGCAAGAGTCGCGTGGGCGCCACGGCCACTGGCACCCCCCCCGAAGCTGCCGCGGGCGACCATGGTTAAGGGACAGATTCGGCGAAGGGAACCAAAAGGGGGGCGTTCGTATCACCCGGATGCCCCTGCTCGCAAATCTCGCCCCTCCGGCAAAGGGACAGGCCGGGGCAGTGCCAGTGAGGGTGGCCGCGGTAACACAGATGCATGGGGTGATTCGAGTGGATGGTGGACCGGCACTCGTGCCGACAATCGGAGAATCAACCGGTGGCATAATCGTATTTGTCGTGACGATGGAACGTGGACCTCAGCGAGAACCGGTGGGACGATAGCTCTTGGCATGCGAGTTCGAGCGGAGCCAGAAATGACAGCTCGTGGCATGCGGTTCGGGTCGAGGCTGGGAAGGCAGCTCACGGTGAACGAAGTCGACGCATGAACCTGAGATGCTGGTGACGCGCGCGGGCTCTGTCTAATGAAATTCGGGGCGACGTCGCGCGATGGAGACTTCACCGCTGAAGCAGGAATCCATCGGTACTACTCGGACGGGTGGCGCTGTGAGAGTTTTTACCTAACATCGAAGACTGATAGGTGTCTAGTAGTCTCAAAAGAGAGCAGCACATTACTTCAACATTACTTCAACATTACTCCACAGGGGGGTCTGGGCAGCCGTTGGGGGCAGTTGGGGGGCAGTTGGGGGGCTGTTGGGGTTTGCCGGCGGGGATCGTTTTTCGCATACAGTCACACACTTCGTGCCCACTTCGTGCTCTTCGATTTCCCAGAACTCCATTCCCGGGCCACATTTTGGAATGCCCGGAGCCAACTGTAGGCCACTTCGTGCTCTTCGATTTCCCAGAACTCCATTCCCGGGCCACATTTTGGATGCCCGGAGCCAACTGTAGGCCACTTCGTGCTCTTCGACTTCCCAGAACTCCATTCCCGGGCCACATTTTGGATGCCCGGAGCCAACTGTAGGCCACTTCGTGCTCTTCGAGTTCCCAGAACTCCATTCCCGGGCCACATTTTGGATGCCCGGAGCCAACTGTAGGCCACTTCGTGCTCTTCAAGTTCCCAGAACTCCATTCCTGGGCATGATTTTGAATGCCCGGAGCCAACTGTAGGCCACTTCGTGTTCTTCTAGTTCCCAGAACTCCATTCCTGGGCCACATTTTGAATGCTGAGGCAGGCTGATGCTGCGGCCGAGGCAGGCTGAGGCTGAGGCAGGCTGAGGCTGAGGCCGAGGCTGAAGGCAGACTGAGGCTGAGGCTGAAGCAGACTGAGGCTGAGGCTGAGGCAGGCTGAGGCTGAGGCTGAAGCAGGCTGATGCTGAGGCAGGCTGAGGCTGAGGCTGAGGCTGATGCAGGCTGAGGCTGAGGCAGGCTGAGGCTGAGGCTGAGGCCAAGGCTCAAGGCAGACTGAGGCTTTGGCTGAAGCAGGCTGAGGCTGAGGCTGAGGCTGAGGCTGAGGCAGGCTGAGGCTGAGGCTGAGGCAGGCTGATGCTGGCAGGCTGAGGCTGAGGCTGAGGCTGAGGCTGAGGCTGAGGCTGAGGCTGATGCAGGCTGAGGCTGAGGCAGGCTGAGGCGGAGGCCGAGGCTGAAGGCAGACTGAGGCTGAGGCTGCAGCAGGCTGAGGCTGAGGCTGAGGCAGGCTGAGGCTGAGGCTGAGGCTGAGGCTGAGGCTGAGGCAGGCTGAGGCTGAGGCTGAGGCTGATGCAGGCTGAGGCTGAGGCAGGCTGAGGCTGAGGCCGAGGCTGAAGGCAGACTGAGGCTGAGGCTGAAGCAGGCTGAGGCTGAGGCTGAGGCAGGCTGAGGCTGAGGCAGGCTGAGGCTGAGGCTGAGGCAGGCTGATGCTGAGGCAGGCTGAGGCTGAGGCTGAGGCTGATGCAGGCTGAGGCTGAGGCAGGCTGAGGCTGAGGCCGAGGCTGAGGCAGACTGAGGCTGAGGCTGAAGCAGGCTGAGGCTGAGGCTGAGGCTGAGGCTGCAGGCTGAGGCTGAGGCAGGCTGATGCTGAGGCAGGCTGAGGCTGAGGCTGAGGCTGAGGCAGGCTGAGGCTGAGGCCGAGGCCGAGGCAGACTGAGGCTGAGGCTGAAGCAGGCTGAGGCTGAGGCTGAGGCAGATGCAGGCTGAGGCTGAGGCAGGCTGAGGCTGAGGCCGAGGCTGAGGCAGACTGAGGCTGAGGCTGAAGCAGGCTGAGCTGAGGCTGAGGCAGGCTGAGGCTGAGGCTGAGGCAGGCTGATGCTGAGGCAGGCTGAGGCTGAGGCTGAGGCTGATGCAGGCTGAGGCTGAGGCAGGCTGAGGCGGAGGCCGAGGCTGAAGGCAGGCTGAGGCTGAGGCTGAAGCAGGCTGAGGCTGAGGCTGAGGCAGGCTGAGGCTGAGGCTGAGGCAGGCTGATGCTGAGGCAGGCTGAGGCTGAGGCTGAGGCTGATGCAGGCTGAGGCTGAGGCAGGCTGAGGCTGAGGCCGAGGCTGAAGGCAGACTGAGGCTGAGGCTGAAGCAGGCTGAGGCTGAGGCTGAGGCAGGCTGAGGCTGAGGCTGAGGCAGGCTGATGCTGAGGCAGGCTGAGGCTGAGGCTGAGGCTGATGCAGGCTGAGGCTGAGGCAGGCTGAGGCTGAGGCCGAGGCTGAAGGCAGACTGAGGCTGAGGCTGAAGCAGGCTGAGGCTGAGGCTGAGGCAGGCTGAGGCTGAGGCAGGCTGAGGCTGAGGCTGAGGCAGGCTGAGGCTGAGGCTGTGACTGCGACTGCCGTTGCCACTGCGACTGTCATCGCGAATGCGTCTACGACTGCGAGAACAGCAGAATTCTACAACTGGATTCTCATCCGAATCTTAAGGGGAATGCTTCCAGATGTGCTCCTACACATCGATGTTAGGTTGCTTTGCCGGGATAATTTTGGGTTGGCGTTTCTTGACTAGGTGTACGGAAGGCCGGCACGTGGAGTGAATTTGCTCTGGGCCTGCCTCGGGAGGAGTCGTTGCCGTCGCTCCCTCAGCCTCTCTTTACAGCCTATACATGCGTGGTGTCGCACGTGCTTGGCTCAAAACAATTGTGGGGATAGGACGCAGCAGGCGTCTTCGCGGAAACAGGGTGCGCGCTTGCGCGCGTGCGTATGGTTGTCCACTCTCATACCGGCTTACTTACCAAAACAGTGCAGCTATGTCGGACAGCACCGTTAAGAGCCCATTCATCTACAGTATCCACATGAAGGGATCCCTAGGGTTAGGGAATCTGAGCAAAGGAATCGCTCGCTCGTCAGGGGAAGCCTGTTCTCTGGCGAAGGACACGACGCCTGTGCACCACCACCATGCTTGCAGCCACGCCTGGGCAGGGCCATCCTGGGCCACGCGATTAAAAGAGGAACACGTAAAAGTATAAACCTCAATTCTTTACGCTTCGCGTATCCCCACCAGCCCATCTCAAAACAGCAACTCTGGCGAAGCATGCCGACAGTCGTGTTTTTCAGGCGTGTGTCCGCTTGCCCTTCTCGTGGTGTGAGTTGTTCGGGCCCCTCGTCCTGGTGTGAGTCGTTCGGGCCCCTCCTCCTGGTGTGAGTCGTTCGGGCTCCTCGTGGTGTGAGTCGTTCGGGGCCCTCGTCCTGGTGTGAGTCGTTCGGGCTCCTCGTGGTGTGAGTCGTTCGGGCGCCTCGTCCTGGTGTGAGTCGTTCGGGCCCCTCCTCCTGGTGTGAGTCGTTCGGGCTCTTCGTGGTGTGAGTCGTTCGGGCCCCTCGTCCTGGTGTGAGTCGTTCGGGCTCCTTGGGTGCCTTGGGCGAGCCTCTTCGGGCCTCTTGGGAGCCTCTTGGAGGCCGTTTGGGGCGTCTTGGGGGCCTATTGGCGGCTCCCAGGAGCGTCTTGGGTGCCTCGGGGGAGCCTCTTGGGGCCTCTTGGGGGCCTCTTGGGGGCATCTTGGGGGCCTCTTGGAGGGCTCTGAGGGGGCCTCCTGGGGGCCTCTTGGGGCCATCTTGGGGCCTCTTGGTGCCTCCTGGGCGCTTCTTGGGGCCATCTTGGAGGAAATCGATGAAAGAAGAGGGGAGCTTTAATTAGCGCTGCCCCCTCAGAAGGGCAACATGGGCCCAAAACCTTCGTAAAATCAATGATTTTGCCTTGAAAGAAGAGGGGAGCTTGAAGGAGCGCTGCCCCCTCAGAAGGCCAAAATGGGGCCAACACCGTAGTAAAATCAATGATGTTGGCTTCAAAGAAGGGGCGAGCATTTTTTCGGACTCCCCCCGTCGGGGCCAGAATCCTCGTGAGGGGTGTCGTTTTTTAGCCCTCCCAGGAGTCGAAAATGACCCCCCTGACGACCCGCGGAGGGACCTCTCCAGGCCCAGGGGGAGGGAGGGGTAAACCCCTCCCCGAAGGGGAAGGAGGGTTGAGAACAGAGCGGGCTTTCTAAACCACTCACGCCCAAAGGGCTGGTGGGATTTTCGGCGCTCTGCGCGGATTTCTGGGATTGCGGAGGGCCCCCCTGGCGGCGCTTCTGGCGCCGCCCTTGGCGCATTCCGCGCGCCAGGGAGGAGGGTCTGGCGCGCATCCAAGAAATCTGCCTGGACCGCCGAAAGTTTATGTTTCTGCAGTGGTTTTTGTTCTCGAGTCCTGGTCCCCAGGGTGGCCGTTACAGACAAAACGCTGAAGCAAGGACCACTCTGGGTTCAGGAGGCGCTCTGGTTTTCAGGCCGCTCCGCGGCCCAAGGTCGGGAAACGTCTTCGTTGCCGAGGCTCGCCGTGCCCACGGAAGCCTGCGCGATGGCACGAAAACCATGCGAGGGCCCAGGATGGCCCTGGCCAGGCATGTCGGCGGTGTGCAGGTACACCTTGCGTGTGTTGATTTCTTTTGCGTCGCCCTCACGCCTGAGGCCATGAGCGCCCCAGCTGATGGCTCCGTCGGGCGCCGTCAGCTCGGCCGATCGCGCGGCACGCTTTTCAAAAGCGGGCCGCTCGTCCGTGCCCCCTTTCGCGCACGTGTGCCCGCGGGCCAGGGGACAAAAGGCCCCGCGGACCGTGAAGGTGGGTGCAGCTTCCGTAAGTGCAAAGGCCCGAGCATTTGTTGATGTACAAGCACGCAGAAGTATCTATACATAGGTGTATATATATATATATATATATATATATATATTGCATACACATATACACAGACGTATCTGTATGTATATA